TCAAGAGGTGGGAAACTTCTTTACCCGCTCTCTCTCAGCAGCCTTCACAGGCTCTCCTCCCTCACCTCCCTCTTGAACGTATGATTTTCTCCCTGGGGATTCCTTCTCTCCTCACAGCTTCAGTAACCATCTACATCCACTCCCGCACCTAGAGCTTTGATCCGCTGAGCCCATTCTAGCCAACTCTTGCTGAATATCCCTACCTGTGTGTCCAAAAGGCTTTTCAAAGTTACCATTTTCAAGGCTGAAATCATCCCCCTCCTTCCTCCCAGACCTATTTTTCTCCTGAACTTTCCACCTCAATGACTGGCACCGCCATCCACCCAGATGTCCACGTCAGAAACCTGCGTGTCATCCTACTCTTGTCCCTCTCCCCTTGGCCACATCCATTTGGTCCCCGAGTCCTGATGATTTATCTGTTAAATAGTTTCAACAGGTTACAAAACAGCATAAGCATTATGATCCAGTTTAAGGAAAAACTTGTGTAAAGTATATACTCATTAAGAAATCAGAAGGGCCCATATGGAAATGTTAACCATGGGTATTACTAGATGGAATTACAAGTAATTTTTTGTCTTTTAAAACGTATGTATTTTGTAAAGACTGCATACCTCTATATAAAAGAAAAACTGTTATCTTTAAAGATAGCCTCCGAATAGGTACCTTCTTCTAACTCCTAAGTTACTTTTGGTTCTCATCAACTGTTGCAGCAACATGACCTTCTACCCGGTTCTCCTACCTCCAGGCTTGTCCCGCCCCCCCACATTCCATGCTGTAGAAGGTCATATAGGACCTTCGTCAGTGAGCACTGCCCACTTCCTAGCCTAGCTTTCCACCATGCTCTGTTCCAGGTATAGTGACCTGAAACAGAAACTACCATATGCACCTTCCTGTCTCCACGCCTTGGACCCTGGTTCCTTCCCACCTGGCCTGTTCTTCTCTCTCCATGTCCCTCCTCTCCCTGGCCAACTTCTCCTGGTCCTTAAAGATTCAAGTCAAGCATCACCTCCTGCAGGCGTTTTCCCTACACATCACAAGCAGAGTCAGGAGGCCGTCCTCCAGTCCTCTCACCGTCCCCTATCCCTCCCCATCCTATAGCCTTTCTCCCTCTGCTTTTACCCAACTGGTCCCCCATCAAATAGTGACCTAGGGACTACCTCATTCAACTTTGTTTCTGAATACCTTGAACAATTTCAATTAAAAGCTCACTTTAAATAAATTTATTGGGGTGATACAGGAGGAGGTTGAGGCTGTTCTGAGGGCATCTTCTTCTTCAAGCTGCTCTAGTCCATTTCCTCCTCTCTGCCAAGTATACTTCCACCAAGACACACCATCACTTCTGTGCAGTCCTGCTGTGGGCTCAGCTGTGAAGGATGTGACTAGAGCAATATAAATCCAAACCCAAGAGGCTCCCAAACAGACACGGTTCTCCTCTCCCCTGCCCAGACACAGCCCTGGGGGTGAGAGGCCAGCCACCTGGCCCATTTTATGTGAATCCACTTGTTTTCACTCCAACCACACTCCTACTTTTAATGGGATTTACACCAAAAGACAGGCTCTGATGATTTCTAAACATAAGCAGAAAAGATGCTTGAATGCTCTTCCGCAGCCAACACGCCACATGTCCAAACCGCAACGGTCTTGGGTAAGCAGGTGACAATGGAGGGGATATGGGGATATATGTGTACATAGAGCTGATTCACTTTCTTATACAGCAGAAACTAACCCACCACTGTAAAGCAATTATACTCCAATAAAGATGTTAAAAAAAAAAAAAAGCAGGTGACAATGGATGTGAAAGACTGAGGGTCTAGAACGCCCAGTGGAGATGACCCAGGCCTCTACTCTTTACTGCACATCACTCCAACACCCAGGAAGCTACTGCATTCCTCAAACTCTCTAAAAGAAAGAAATTCCTGTATGTCAAACTTTCTATGCATGTGTGCATACTCACGTGTATGTTATTTTAAATCCTTACAAAAATTCTTTCTAGATAAACACTGAAGCCTTGGGGGATGGAGTGGAAAAGATAAAATAAGTTGCGTAAGAACACCCAGGTAGTAAGGGAGTGAATTGATGTTAGGTCTAACTTCAAGATTCACGCTCTCAGACCACGAGCACTGAAGTCAGACAAGGGCTTAAATGCTGGCTCCAAACTCACCAGCTGTGCGATCTTTGGCAGGTTACTTAAGCTCTCTGAGCCTGTATTTCCTCATCTGTATAAGTGACAGATTTAGGTGCCGTGACCTCTGAGGTCTCTTCCACTTGGGACGTCAAGTAGCCCCAAGGCTCTACTGTTACAACCTCTGACTTGTTCCTGTGCAGCTTGGGGAAGGGGTCATACAGGAAGGATGCAGGCTCTAGGACTACTGTGATCCTAGGGGAACACTGGGGCAGACACATCAAAGCGTTGAACCCCGGGGCAGAGCAGGGCCGGGGTCACGCACTCCTGCCCAGAATAAGCACCCACTCCGTGGCATTCAGACGACCTTCTGGCAGATATGCTCTTCTCATTCTTCACACATCAGCTCAAACATCATTTCCCAAGGGAAGCCTTCCCTCCCCTGTCCCCTTGCCTCTCAAGGCTGGACCCCTCCCCCGCAGGTACCCTCTCATAGCTCCTTCTACTTCCCCTTTGTACTTAACACAGTGTGTTAATAATATCCTGCTGTGATCATTCATTAATATCCGTCTCTCACTAGTAAGATTCATGAGGGTTGTGAGTACGTTTATTTTGTCCCCCATTGTATCCCCATTGTCTAGGAAAGAGGAAAGCGTTCGGTGGATCTGTATTGAACGAATGGGTTAATTAGTTAAGTAATTAATGCTACGCAGTCAAGTCTTGATGAGACCAAAGCAGCAGTGTTTTGACTTGCAAGCCGACCTGGAGTGAATTTTAAGATCCTGTCTGATTGCCCAAGTCGTTCAGTACGAAGCTGCATGTCCTTGAGCCTTGGATTCCTCTCCTCTTCCTGCCAGTCCATGTCACAGCTCATTTGGGAGTTGATAAGGGGATGGCTGTGCACTGACTCTGACATCCCTGAAGTCACCCCACCAATCACCAGGAAGGCCAAGGGGGCTGAAGAAACAGGCTCAAGGTGACAGAGTACGTCGGTAAGAAGGGAAGGAAAAGGCCTAGCATTTCAGCTTTCTGGGGTTTAACCACTGGACTGCATCTCTACCAGGGGATCCCAACAAGAGGACAGCTTCGGGAGGGGCTCTGGGACTTCGAGAAAAGCAGCACATCCTTTGCTGTGGAAGGAAGTGTGGGCATCGTCAGCTGGGGGCTTGAGTCTCAAAGACAGCAGACAGCTCCCTGAAGAAGTCTTCACCCTCCCACTCTGCCCCTGTGAGAGGCTCCCAGGGCTCCCTGGGCCTTCTGCAACCTTCTGCTGATTGCTTGCAAGCCTCTCCCTGACAGCAAAGCCTCCCTCTGGACTCTAGGAACTGGACAGTTCACCGTCTCGCTGAACAAGTCTTGCCGCTGACCCCGCTGGGTCACTGCAAATGCTGTCAGGCAAACTCCTCACCACTGTCCCACCTCGGCTCTCAATTACCTTCTCCATGCTCTTGTCTCTACAGAACTTTTCATCATGCATCGCCAAGGATCACTTATTTAATACCCGGACTAACACTTTTATCCTTCAAGACTAGGATTTAAAAAATGTACATTTTACCCCAAGTTTGGTACATATAAAGGGTTAAGATCATATTAATTCAATGGATAAAGAGGAGGGAGAAAAGAAGGAAAGAAAAAAGCAAGCAAGAGTGAAAGGGAGGGAGGATAAAAAGGAAGGAGAGAAGGAAGGGCATAGACTTATGCAGACCTTTCTTGGTGACATCCCACTCCAGCTGAGGTCGTGTTCTTAGGTGGGAAGAATGTGGGTTCTGGAGTTAGACAAATCTGGGTTCAAATCCCAGCCCCGTCTCACCCTAACTGTGGGGCTTCAGACAAGTCATTTAAGCTCTCTGAGTTCAGGTGGCGCATTTGTAAAATGAGGATAACAGCTAACGAAAAGGTATATTCCCAGAGGATTAGAGATAACGTACGTAAAGCACCCTGCACTTTGGCACTGGCTGGGAGGCTGCAGGGGCTCCTTCTGCACTCGGAAAGCATGGAGAGGTAGGGACTGGTTCAAGAACCAACCCCTAAGAACCTAGGTCTGTGCTCTCCACATTGGATACCCATCACCTTTCCTGAGCAGAAAAACTCAGTTATGGAAATATGGACAGTGAATGAGTAACAATCAAATTAATTTTTACAGACGTTAACAGTATACACCAAGAAAACAAGAGCTCTGCCCCCGGAAGAACTTTCTATAGCCTTGCTCTAACCTAACGACAACTGACGCTCTATGATGCTCACCTGTGTTTCAAGTGAGTCTCTGCATTCACCCTGAAAATCTACAGTCTGCCCAAGTGCACCTTGGCCCTGGGTCTGTACAAGCATATTAAGGAGAGCGGAACATAATACAAGAAGTAACGAAATAGCCATAACCGTGACCAACTCCTCTGCCAGGTGATCCCTTTTCCCCTGTTATTTAACCATGTCTCCTCGAGAGTGCTTCTCGAGTGTCAAAGTCAACGGACGTGAGTGTGTTCTACTCTCCCAGGGCCTGTCCAAGCTCTGCCAAAGGTGCTGATGACCAAAAAAATAATCAGAACAAACAAAAAGCACCTGGATTATCCAAGAACGGAACCCCAATTCTCTAAGCCGCGTTCAGCGATCAAGGCCTCCGTTACCTGTTACAGGGGCTGGACTGGGACCGGGAGAGCCACAGGGCAGGGATCAAGGTGGTCTTATTCTTCAATGTATATTACCAGTGCCTGGCTCGTTGCCAGCTCAGGAAAGATTTGTGCAATGAATGGACAAATAAATGAAAACTGCATGACCGATTGACTAATAAATGGAGGATTCATGAGCATACAGCACAACCTCCTGTCCTTCCAGCTGCCCCCCCAGCCCACCCCCAAATCCAAATCACCTGTTCTTTCCTTACCCGAGCGATCAGCTCCCCGACCATTCCCGTCCAGGTGCCATTGGCCTCGGGCACGCCGTACACGCCGTCCCCGACCAGGCGGATCTTGTAGTTGAACCGGAGGATCTCTGCCAGCTCCTTGAGCATGTCCACACAGAAGCCCTCGTAGCGGTCATTGCCTTCCATCTCCTGGTGGTTTCCCTTCAGCATTAAATACGGGTTTTCCTGCAGCAAAACTGGGCAGCTGTCATTCTCATCTTAGCCCTGGTGTCTCAGCCACACATGACGAGGGGGTCGGGGACACAGGAGGTTGGGACGAAGATGGGGTGGAAGGAGGGAAATGGCTTGGGTAATGGAGTGCTTCAGAGGTGGCAGTGAGGTCCCCTCCCTGACTTCAAGACACTTCTCTTACCTGGAACACATAAGGGTCCCACTGCACAGAGGGTCCAGTGGAAGCCCCTCCACCTTGTTTGAGGTCATCATCTGACCCCACCCTGCACTTCGTTCCTTCCTTTTCTTCCCCTTCCTTTGTTTATTCCACATAGACGGATCACGGCGGATTATGAGATACAAGGATGCTGACAACGGAGCAAGCGAGATTCTTACATGCACAGAACAACCGCAAACCCTAGGCAGGACGCGTCCAGCTGTGAGCGCTGGGAGGAGGGTCTCTCTGATGAACGTCCAGGGAAGGTTCTATGGAGAAGGTGGGATGCAAGCTGGGCTCCGGAGGAAGACAGAACACTGACAGATGGAAGTGGTGTGAATGGAGGGCTGTTCATGGGCAGGGGAAAGGCAGGATCTAGGGCAAAATCCCGAGTGAGAAGGAGAGCGGCCCATTCGGTGGACAATGGGGCTGCCCTTGAGTGGGAGCCTGGGCTGTGTGGAGGGGAGGGGTGGTGGATACATTTAGAAAGATGAGTTAGGGTCAGCGTGGGCCTTGGGTGCCAGGACAAGGTGACATCACACATACATAGTAGGGAAGCACTAAGGGTTTTAAAGACTTAAGGATGCGAGTAAAGAATGTTATAGAGCAAGAGAGACGTCTGGGAGTGAGGACGGACCCTCTCCTGATACGGACGCTGAGTCCTGAGCCGTGCTCGGGGTCAGATTGGATTGCAAGGCAGAAGAATCACAGAGAGGGTCAGGCTTGATGCCAGGCTGGGTGTGAGGCACAGAGGGTAGGGTCCTCAGACCCCTGGAGCCTGAGCAGATGACCAAGGATGATGTCATCATGGCCACGGATGGTTTGAAAAGGAAGAGGTTTTGGAACGTGTTGAATCTGAGATGCTGGTCATCGATCCAGGAGGGAACATCTGACTGAATGTTGGAATATGGGGTGAGGGCGGGATCGGGGGCAGAGATGGGGCAGCCTCCGGACAGAGGTGGTGGCTGAAGCTGCAGCATATGAGAGACCATCGGGGGGAAGGACAGCAGAGGGCGAGACCTGATCTTAGGGAGGGGGAGAATGAAGAGCAGCCGTAGAGGAGGACAAAGCAGAAGCGGCCAGAAAAGCCGACAATAGGAAAATGTGGTCATGAAGGTCAAGGAGGAAAGGGTTTCAAGCAGGAGAAGGCAGACATTCCCACAAAGAGAGGAAGCAGGGCTGTGAAAGGGCATCTGGGTCACATGTCCCTGGAGACCTTCGAAGGCAGGTTGGGGTGGGAAGGGGGGAGGGGATGGCAGAACCCCGCAAGGACGGGTGTGCACGAGGGGTGCACGGGTGAGGGCCGACCAGGATGTTGAGAAGTTCAGAGACAAATGCTGGCAGAGCTTCTCCACCCAACTGCTACCGGTCACGTCTCGCTCCAAACCTCAGTTCCCCCTCTGCCTGCAACAGGCTTGGAGGCTGCCCAGTGTCCACCAATCCCTTGATGATGATTCCCTAAATAGGAGGGTAGCCCAAGGACAGCAGGGTGTAGGTAAGGTGGTAGTGATGGTGTCTTAGGATGGGAGGGACCAGAGTACATGTGTAGGTACAAAGGGAGGAATCCTTAGAAAAGGGCAGATTAGAAAAGGAAGAAAGAGAAGGCTAGTCAGTGCAGCAAAGTCCTGGGAGAGCTAGGGTCTAGGTGAACATGGGAAGTGGGCCTGGGGGTAAGGTGGAGAGCATGGATGTGGGTACAGAGGGGGCGCGGAGGAGGCCCAAGATACGGAGCCGTGCCAACCCCCAGAGCTGGGGGCAGGTAGGAGGGAAGGCTTGGTGCCTGGAAAGGTTTCCTCAGGGAACACGATGTGGGGTGAGCAGAGAGGAGTGCAGGGTTGCCCAGGCCCAGCTGAGTCAGGAGGCGGAATGCAGATGGGCAGCTGGGAGCAGGGCTTGCAAGGACAGTTGGACTTGGGGACGGGCAGGAGGGGAGATGGTTGAGCATCATGGTGGAGTCAGTTCTAGAAGTCAACAGAGGGAAGTGCTGAACTGCTGGTTTGCTGAGCTCAAGCTGGAAGGGGCTTCTGGGCTGGGGAAGACGGCAGCCAGAGAGGCCAGAGGTCGCAGAGGGAGGAAGGGGGAGAGCGGTCTTGTGGGTGTGATGAAGCGGAAGAGGGGAAGGTCGGAGGTTCCATGCCAGGGAGAGGGAGCTCCAAGTTGAAGGTTATGGGCTTCTGGTTCATGGTCAAGTGCGCTGTCATGTCCGTGAAATGGGCCCAAGCTCCCTGACTTCCACACATGCTGTCCTCAGCTCATGGGCCTCTCTCTGTCCTGCTTTTGCTTAACCTAACTCATCTCTGTCCCTGGGGTCCCATCCCACCTCTGACCCCAACCCACTTCTCAGAACCCCTACCACACTCGCAGCCAGGCCTCCCCACACTCCTCCTACACGTGCCGGCTCGCAGGTAGAACGTACGTGGAGCCTGGGACGGACTCCTCCCTGTCTCTGGGGCCCCCACCTGGCCCCAGCATCCAGCACTTGTGGATTGTGTGGGTGAAAAGTGCTGCAATGGCCTCACCGACAGGGCCTGGCTGGGCATTTCCACGCCTGGGTTGGAAGGCAACCTCCCAGGGTATCTTTAACCATCCCAAGGAGTGTCACAAAACTCTTCTCCCCGAGAACTCTCTGCACGTAAGTTAATTTAAAATTCACTGACATATTTAGAGTAAATAAACAGGAAGCCAGTGTTGGAGGGAGGAACCATGTGGGAGGGGGCGGAGCTCACTGGCACTTTGGAGGGTCTGGGGGCCGCGTGCTGGCCTGGAGTCCTGTCCTGGCGGGCAGTGATGAGGGCAAAGTGCTTCACCCGGGTTCTGATGCAGGGGTGTGTTCTAGGGGTGGGAGCTGCGGCTAATTCTGTGTATTTGCCGGTGTTAACCAATAAATCACTCGCAAGTCCCAACTGCACCCTGACAGTAGCAGGATGCAACAGGCCTGTGTGCTGAGTTTTAAGGGATAAATCATTCAGATGGCCATTTGCCAAGGAGGTCCCCCAAATGGCCAGCAGGGACTAAATTAAGGTAATCATTCCTGGTAAGTGTTACTGACTTCTACACACATGCACAAGAGAAGGTTCTCATTTGAATCGTACTGGCCATGTTTTTAAATGTTCCCTTTCACAAAAGTGTCCTTCCCCACCCTCATGAGCACACGTGTGCATATGTGAACAACCGTGTGCGTGCATGCACTCACACACAGGCACACACACACAGGGTCAGACTGACTTTCCCAGTCTAGAAACATGACCCTGCGGTCTCAGTGTCCCCATGGGTCTGTGCCAGAGCTCTGAGCCCTGTCCAATTCCAGTCCCAGAAAGGCAGGAAGTACAACCCGGCAATGTCCCCATTTCTCTCTCAAACTCTTAACTGGCTTTTGAGGGACATCTCTGACCCTGTAGGAAGGAATTCCTTCATTCAAATTCTAATCATCAGGAACTTCCCTGGTGGTGCAGTGGTTAAGAATCCGCCTGTCAATGCAGGGGACACGGGTTTGAGCCCTGGTCCGGGAAGATCCCACATGCCGCAGAGCAGCTAAGCCCGTGCGCCACAACTACTGAGCCTGTGCTCTAGAGCCCGCGAGCCACAACTACTGAACCCACGTGCCACAACTACTGAACCCATGTGCCACAACTACTGAGCCCGTGTGCCACAACTACTGAAGCCCGCATGCCTAGAGCCCGTGCTCCGCAACAAGAGAAGCCACCGCAATGAGAAGCCTGCGCACCGCAAGGAAGAGTAGCCTCCACTCACCGCAACTAGAGAAAGCCCGCACACAACAACGAAGACCCAATACAGCCAAAAAAAAAAAAAGAAAAAGAAAAGAAAATTGTAATTATCAGGCTCCTACTTTGTGTCAGGTCCCCCAGTCTTTCAGGAGCCCTCATTCTGGAAAGGGAGGTAGAGCTATAAATGCCAACTCTAATAGGAGAAAGGTGTGTACAAAATGTGAGAGGCAGGGAGCAGGCAGGAGGCAGATGAGGGAAGACCTGACGGAAGAGGGGACATCAGAGCCAAGCTGTGAAGGCTGTACAAGTATTTCCAGGTGGAAACAGGAATTCACAGAGAGGGTATTCCAGGCAGAGGGAATAGCATGTACAGAGGCAGGGAACAGCATGATGCAGTGAGGAAGTGTCAGGCAGTCCAATGCTGCCAGACCCCACGTGGCATGGAGAGGAAGCAGGTACAGCAGGCTGGGCTTCATGATGAGAGGTTTATATTCCAAGCTCAGGGCCGGTCGCTCCTGGGCAGCACTGAAGTGAGGAAATGACAGGATGGTTCTGATTTTAGAATGACCGCGCAGCCAGAAGGGCGGGGCTAGGGAGAGACAGACTGAACAAGTGAGAAGGGGGCCTTTGAGGAGGCCACACGCAGCTCCAGTGAAGAGGTGGCTACACCTATGTTAGGGCATGTGCTTGAGGATGGACAGCAGGTGACAGACTCAGGCAGTCCTTCAGAGGCAGAGCAGGTCCCAGCGATCGCGCGCGTGTTGCCCCCACTCGGCCAGGACTGCCGGTCAGCGTCGCTGCAGCTCAGCCAGGCGCCCCCAGGTCTCAGGGGCTTGGTGACACCCCCCCCCCAAATCCTGTTGACATTTCCACGTTGGTTCAGATGAGCTCAGGTTGGGCTGAGATGGGGAGTGGCTAAAACCCTGCGAGCTGGAACTGCCTTCTCCATCCTTTGCTTTGTTCCCTCTGCCTGGAATGTTCCTTCCCAGACGGCCACGTGGTTGTCACCTCACCTCATCAGGTCTCTACTCGGATGTGCCCTTCTCAGTGAAGCCAGCAACCCCTCTCCCCTTCCTCAGCTCTGTCTACACCCGAGCACCTAGAACAGCGCCCAGCACACAGGAGTGCCCCCCAAATGTTCACTGAACGAATGACTGAAAATATTCGGTGAGCCCCTGTTTTGTACCAAACGAAGGGAGAACTCACAAGCTTGACATTCAAGTCCCTAAGCATTATGGGCCCAGCCCACTTCTCCAGCCTCAGGCCTTTCCCTCTCTACCAATGTCCATTTCCTAGAAACCTGCACTTTTTGGCATTTCCTGAGTGCCTGATAACACTCTCCTTAGTCCACTTCTCCCTCCTCATCAGCCCTGTCTTTGGGGGCCCAACCTCAATGTCCCTCTCCTCGGAAGGCTTTGCTGACCTCCCCGATGGCATGGGACCTCTCTCTCGTTCACCCCCCATGGCGCTAGGCGTGCGCCTCTTTCCTGGCTTTTATCCTGCTCTGCTCACGGGGGATCAGTTATTTCAGTGCAGGGCTCCTGAGCCCCAGGAGCTCATGAATGTAGTGATGGAGGTCCCTGAGCTCTTTTTACCATCTCGAAAGCCTGAAAGAAACGGACACGTTTCCAAACCTTGCACAGGTAGCAACAGCACAATAGGCTAAACAGGCTAACAGTCGAGTCTGTTTGGGGCTGGGATTCCATCAGTGCGGCCACACTGATTATCTCCTGTGGATAACATGCTGGGCCCGGCAGGGAAATAGGTTTTTGATTGGTTAAAAGGAGGTGGGGGAAGGGGGCAAACTCATAATTACTTAATACATGCAGTTGGTTAATGGACAAATCTTTTAAAACCTGAAGTCTTCAGGGATGGGGGGAGGGGAGAAGAAGATGACTTTGGCCGTGAACGCACTTGATTCGTGCCGTCTAATAAATTACAGCCTGTTTGAGGACAGAGACTGAGTCTTACTCAGCTTCGTGTCTCCAAGAATGAGCACAGTGCCTGGCACATGGGGGAAGGGCTTGGTAACTGTCGAAGAGAACTGAATCAAATAAAAAAGGCAGATGGTCCCTTGCTCTACAGATTGCGAACTTTCTTCTGACCATCTGGAAATGAAGAAAGAGGCCATGCAAACCCATTGAGATTCAGGTGTCCACTGCCAGGGATGCAACTTGTACAAGTAGGCACCCAGCAAAGCAGGCTGTCGTGAAAGAGTAGGAGCCACCCCGGGGGACTTCTCCCGCGTGTCCTAGGTGCCCTGCCCTTGGCTGTGCACAGCTGCCCTGGCTGTCAGGGTGCCCCTGGAAGAGGCGTCCACAAACTGTGCTGTCTTGCCACCCCATCCTGCTTCCCCAGCTGCTTTGGAACTCATCAGATATCATTTCCATATGAAACAACAACTTGAGTTTAATTACACTGTCATAAATTGGCCTCCGTGCTGTGATTAGAGCTCCCATCTTCTGTTCATGGGGAGGCTGGGAACGCCTGGAGATGGAGGAGGCACCCCGGAGAGTGGCAGCTGGGAGGCCCAGGGGGCACCCGCTTACCAGGATGGTGGTGACGACCAGGGTGGTATTGAAGAGACTGTCGGAGACGTTGGAGGCGTAGAGGCGGCTGTCCATGCTGAGGCCGTCTGCCACGTGCCACTGGCCGATCTGAGGAGACCAAGGAGACAGGCTGGGAAGGGGTGGGGGGAGGAGAAGGCTGGGGAGCTGGGCTGCTGAGGTCCTTCGGGCCTCCAGGGCTGGGGGAGCTGAGAGGCCGGTCCCCTGCCTCCGGCGGGGGTACATGTACATCACAGAAGGAGGGAGGGATGCAGAGTGCAGAGCAGAGGGGCGGGACCGGGGTGGAGCTACCAGGGTTGGGGGGTCAGGGGTGGGTGGGGAGACTGCAAGGGGAGGGGAAGACTTAAGAGGGAGGTGGAAGAGGAAAATGGAAAAAGAAATCAGGAATGCAACGCAGTTCAGGGATGCTCTCTCACCCAGAAGGGAAGGGAGCCCCTGGAATTGCATCATCTGGAGGCAGGACAGAGCCTTCCCTTTCGCTACAGTCTGCCTTCAATAAACCTCATTATCTAAATAAGAACCAGAATGGCTACTGGAGAGAACTGGCCTTACGAGGCTCTTCAATAAACGTTTGCTGAACGGTTCAATGGATGGATGAACCAGAAGAGGGAAGGAAGACCAGGCTCTAGTCCTGGTGGATTCACTTTGCTGGCTGCGAGAACCTAGGCAAGTTACTTCGATCTATGCGAGTCTCAGTTTCCCCAGCTATAGATGGAGGCAGTAACGTTTGCTCTGCCTTCTTCTCAGAGCCAGCTGAGATCGTGCATGTGCCAGTTCGAGGTTACATGGTTCAGCCAGACCCACGAGGGTGGATCTCCACTGAGTAAACCCAGAAATGACTGAACCTCTCTGAAGGTTTTTCCTCATCTGTAAAATGGGAATAATAGAAACATTATGTGGTCATTGTGAGAATGTATTTCAGCTGAAACTCAATAAATGCTAGTTTCCTTCCTTTTCCCCACTGTCTTGACTCCTAGGGGGGAACATATCCACAACTTACTCAGTTCCCCCATTTTAGAAAGTCACCTTTCTAAATTCAGCATCATTGGGTTTTTAGGGAGTTTGTTTGTTTTCTCAGTGGAACCCTTTCTATAACTACACATACGTGTGTGTGCTACCAATACATTTCTACTGGCTGGAGCCCCTGGCAACTCATTTCTGCTGCTGGGTGCTGGAGGTGGGCCACCAGGAGAGATGGCTGATAGCTGGCTAGAAAACCAATGAAACGCACACATACGCCTCTGCCAGGCCCCAGCAGCAGCTTCCCTGGAGAACCCTCACAAGTTCCATGGATGCCACATGGCTCTACCCACCAGAGCTGGGCTCTGGGTTCCTCTTGCGGAAGCTCCAACCACAATAAAGACACATCTCACTCTTGGTCCCCACCCCCCCTGCCCCGGGGCCGGAGCGTTGCGGGTCACAGGGGGCAGTGACCATCTCCCTGACGTCATGGTCTGGACCTTGAAGAGGGGAGGGCCAGGCTGGATGCCTCCAGGTCCAGGCAGGAGCCCGATGGTCTCCCCAGGTGAGTCTTTCACCTGTCAAAGGAGAGATGACCAAAAACCCCTCTCCAAGCCTCAGTGAGGACGCCACCGGAGGGGGCTGGGCAGGTTTCTCCACCTCTGCGTGGGCAGAAAAGTGAGGCACGTGCCCCTGCTCATTTTAGTTTACAAGTCGGGTGCTCTGCACATCCACACCGGAAGCCCCGTCTAGATAAAGAAACTGACGCCAAGATAGGAGCCCAACTTGCCCGAGGTCACCTCCCCATCAGCTGAGACACCTGAGCTTTAACCCCTGGGCTCTTAACCCTGGATGAGTCTCCCCAAGGAAGGCTTCGTGGCTCTCCTGCCCGGCTCTTCCAGCGTCCTACTGCACGTCTTGTTTACTTGTCCACCTCCCCGGCTAGCCTGTGAGGGGCTGGCTTGCTCGTGCTCACAGCCCGGCACCCTGCTCAGGACCGGTACTTGGAGGCCGGGGAAACCATCACTTGGGCTGAGTGCTGCTGTCGGTAGGGCATGAACAGGAGGTAGGCAAGCGTCCTCTGGTCTCTGGAGGGCCCACAGGGGGGACCAGCCAGGTCAGGGTACGGTCTGAGCTTCCCCCCCTCCCCTCTCTCTGCAGGGGAGAGAGATGGGGAAGATGAGGGATAAGCAGCTAGATTTTCAAGTGAAGGGCAAAGGAGAGCAATAGTTACCAGACCCCTCTTGTGCTGGATGTGTTCTATCATCTCTTTGAATTCTCCCACCAGCCTTGTGAAGTAGTGATGATGTTTTTATGTACGAGGAAACTGGGGCTCAGAGGTTTAATGGCTTGCCTAAGGTCACCTGGCTAGCAGGTGATGCACGGGCTTGAACACAGAGCTGTCTGACTCCTAAATCCAAGACTTTTCCGTGTCCGCTGCTGTCTCTTGGGCGGGGATGCCAAGGGCTCCTCCCCACAAGGAGGAGGAGAAAGGCTCAAAGGAGTCTCGGCCACACAGCAAGAACCCTGGACACGGCTTTTTCCCTCCTGGGTTTTTACATCCACAAAGTCAGGTGAAATGAGGCTGCTTCCCTCTCTGCAAAATGGCTAGAATTGGCTTCTGACAGTCTCCTAGGATAGGAAGGGCCAGATTTGGACAGAAGGACATAAAGAACAATTAGGCCGGATGTCAGCACCTGGATGTTTGGGACAGGACTGAGCTTCTCAGAGTCCTGTCATCTAAACATGCACTTCACACCGACAGGACCAGCAAGACCTCCCCCCCTACTCCCCCCCATTTCCCCCCCCATTGTTCTCAGGGGACCCAGTCCTCACTGATTGCCTGCCCCAGCTCCACACTCCCTGTCTGACCCAAGCCACGAGGTAGGTAGGTTGCCACAAAAGCCAGAGACAGAAATGATTTACCCAGACCCAGATCCGACAGCCCGAGCCATGTCGCCTCCCACACCCACCTCCGGGGACGTGGCAAAAAGAGAAATCAGCCCCCAAGCTCCAGTCAGGACATGAATGTCCCACCAACCCTCCCGTTAGCCCCCAAGAAATTAATAAACTCATCAGATCCAACAAAGCGGCTTTGGCAGCTATAACCCGGAGCAATCTAACTGAGGAAAGGCAGTGGGAAGGAGAGCAGGAGCCAGAGCCAGGCGCCCTGGGATACAGGCTAATCGCCCCACCCACTGGGCATCTTCCATGCCACACACATGCCAGGGGTGGGCAGGAGAGACAGCGCTCATCACCGACAATCTGCAGCTCTGTCTCCAGCCAAATTCCCTTGCTCCACCCCGCTGACACCTGCCCCCGAACCTCCTGCAGGGACAGCGGCTTTGTAAACCTCTTCCACATGCCCACGTGTGCCAGCTTGATTATGCTTCAGATAATGTCTTTCCGTGGCCCTCTCTCTGTGCTTTCTGTCTCTCCCACTTGCTCTGCCTTCCCACCAGTTTAGAGACTCCAGGGGTTGCAGTGAAGGGAGGAGAGGGTATGGATTTGGACACCACCACTGCAAGCCCATACAGCACCTTAAGGCAGGTAAGAAAAAGGCAGCCCTGGGCTGATGTGGCCCTGCGGGTGCGCAGCTGGGCGTGCTGACTCCAGCCTCTACTCAGCACTGAGCTTTTCACAGTCTGTACCACGAATGCAACAGCCCCAGAGTGGGAGGACCTGAGTTTAGCTTGGCTTCTCTGCTTATGAGCTGTGTGACCCTGGGTGAGTTACTTAATCCCTCTGAGCCTCAGTTTCCCCATCTATAAAATGGGGGTTAAAATAGTAATGATTACTTCCTAGGGTTCTTAAGGAGATGAAATCTGATGGTATATGTGCCAAGAACTAGGTGAGCATTCACAGAATTTGTCATGCCATCGTCTGAGACAGAAGATGGGAATCTCTTCCGTGCCCTACACTTTGCACTGTAGACTCCAGTTGAGTAGATTAGACCAGTGTCTCATACTTTGGTTCCTGCACCGGCAACGTCAGCGTTAGAAATGCCAATTCTTGGGCCCCGTTCCAGATTGACTAAATCAGACAGTCTAGGAGCAGGACCCAGCAGTACGTATTGTAACCAGCTCTCCAGTGACTCTGATGCAAGCTGGATTCGAGCAAAGCACATAGAGCAACTCAGACGACAAACATGACGTCAGGGAGAGGCAAGGGTGCAGGAATGAAGAGAGGCTGAGGGCGCACCTGTGGCAAGCTAGGAAACGTTTAAAAACTGGCTCTCCAGGAAAAAAGGCCTTGTCTGATCTGCCCACGTCTGTGGTGTAAACACGCCCACCATGGCTGACTTCACGCTACCCACATGCAGTCACGGGACACCGAGTTGGGGAAAGCGTATAACGGGCTCTGGCTGGCCGGGCAAGCTGCCGCCACCACGCTCACAGGCCCTGTGCTGGGCGCTCGTTTATGCTTACGAATCTCACTGCCACCCTACTTATGAGTAAGGAAAGTGATGTCCACATAGGTAATAATTTACCTGAATCACAGAGCTGAGGTGTGGAAAAAAATCAACGTGCTGCTTCATTGCGATCACAATATTTAAAACAAATGTGTATTCCTTCCCACTGCTGATTCTATGCTCTCAGAAGAAGTGCTTTGTCAAATATGAAAATCGAGGTGAATATAACTGATATGACACGTGTTCGCACGTGCACAGAAAGCATCATTTATCCAACTTCCTCAAAGGACACAGAATGTATATAAATTAATAATCATCACCTTGCTCCCTGGCTGTATAAAAATTAAATAAAATAAAATTCAAATTAAAAAATAATAATGTTGCTCCTTTAAGCACTAAAATTGGGGGGGAGGGTCTTAATTATTTATTTGCAAGTATTATTTCCCAAAATTCTTTCAAAGGGAATTATACTTTCTGCCGTCCTCTTAAACAGAGGAGATGTCTTTACCTTCATGCAGTGTCATCATTTTGAAGCCAGTTATTATCCTGTCCTGTGATATAGTGCTGCTCATTGGTTACTGAAATGTGATGGCCTCTCACCCTCATTTCCGTGCTTTCCTAAGTTAATTTGTCTACTTTTCATAGTGTCTCTTTTCTGATTGTGAACCGTCATTTCCTTCTGCTATTTGGATAGCTGTCTCGAATTGGTCCTTTCCTT